GTATATATGAATATATATAAAAAATTATGTTCATATTATCAATAACAATTTTCTTACACAACCTCTTAAAGTGTAGCAACCACAAATGACTTGCTAACTAGTGAAAGATGCTTCTATGGATACTCCCACACTGATGTATCTGTGCTCCTATTCCTCCCTAGAAAAATAATATAATCCAACTAATCAACCACAGCAATTCCTGTTTTCCATATCGGACTGATCCACCTACCCTCCAGAATTTCAAACCCAACCATACAACAGTATTTTTTTTAAACCACACACCAGAGTTTATTCTGCATCTATGCAGAAAACACCTTTGACTGTGTTCCACATATATTCCTATACAGAATCCACTATAAAGCCAACTGTCACCAGTCCTTAGTGAATTATGACTTAGAAATATATGACTCCAGAAAGGAGAAAATCAGTTCACAGCAATGCCACAGGGTCATTGGAAGAGTTGCACAGAAAGAAATAGAAACTTGACAAGAAATCTTATGCTTCTCAATTCTAATCAAAAGTACTGAGAAAAATAAAAAAAATCCAAAGTTTGGTCGGAGCTCCACTAAAATAAACAATAATGACACATACAAAAAATGCTGGCAAAGATAGATCCCCTTTTTGGCCCATAAATGAATTAAGGTGCTCCTGAAAAATAGATACCTGTCATCCAGTACCTTCAACTTCAGTAGGTTTAGATGACAGCTGTCTGTGTTTAGGGTAGAAATGAGTGAAACAATATTGATTTATTAATGACCAATTTATAATTCACAGTGAACCATTTCCTATTAACTTACGTCAAGTGGTCCAACTCCTGAGTATTGGGTTTGGGTTTGACTGTCACCCTGTTGACTTCATTGTGCAGTCCATCTAGAAGAAACCTCAAGAATTCTTGTGCGTCCTGTTGACTGCAAAGGGAAACAGAAAGTTTGATCAGAGAACAGTTTAGTCTGCAGACGTATTTATTGCCTTTGCAATCACAACAAAACCGAATAATGTTAGATGTTATAGCCAAACATGAAAGAGCTGCTAAAGGCCTCATCTCTGTATGGCATATTACAGATATACCGGGTAATAGCAAGAGTGAGAAAACCAGAAATCAATTATATCTAAACATTCCATAATCTTTGCAAAATTCAAGTGTTCCATGGTTTGCCACTGATAAATGTAAGATCATTCTTGCATGATAACAATAGGTAGGCTATTATAAAGCTGCTCCTGGAGCTTAACAGGGCCAGATCTGAAGTCCATTAGATTTGCTTTTAATCTTTATGTACATCTGTAAAGATGGTTCTTCCCACTTGCTGCCTCTAAGGCCTTATTCATGCAGGCTGTAAGTGGGCAGTAAAACTGCACGGTTGATGTATGTTTATATTGCCCCCAGTTGCCTGTTGGAATGTCAGCACTGCAGCTGCACAGTGCTGTATTCATTGCTCTTGCTGCGCTGCTTTGTGTTGCGGTGCAGCAACAATTATACAGTATGTCACCGCTTGCCAAACGCGACAGTTGCTATGAATGGGACGTGGGGACATGGATGCGGCATGGTACTTCAATAGAAAAACCCACTGAGATTAAAAATTAAAAAACACCCTGTGATTAGGAGGCAACAGTATCACCTCATGAACGTCAAGCAGCCGCTGCTCCGCCGCCCCCTGAAACGCCATCCACTGTGGACTGCTTTTCAGAGGGCAGTGGGGTCTCAAGCCTGTCTGAACGAGGCCTAACACATTAGATGAATACACATGCCCTACCTATGTGCAATGATCCTTTCTCCTCTCATTGCATTCTCTGTACTGTACTCAGGAGTGGGTACCTTAGACACACGATCATATAAGATGCTTATTTATGCTTGATTTAGAGCTATACATTAAAGGGTGGAGTAGAGTATATTTTCTGTGGCTACACACTACCAGCTATTATTGAAAAGTCGAAAGTGTATGTCCAGCCCAAACTTTAGTTTTTTATAGTTTTGAATAGCGTAAGAAAAGATTAGAACACCTGTTGGATGTCCACTGTTATCCAGAGCTATGTTTCAACAGACAGGAAGTGAAGGAAAATCTGCAACAGACATACTGAGAGCAATAACAATGCAACAGGGCCTCTAGCTTTCCCCTACTCTACTGTAAAAAATTACATTACATTTTAATTTCTATCTGTGTTAATGTTTGAGATTTCCATTCACTTCCTGTCTGGTGAAACTATTGTCACCGGAGAACAATAACAAGCACAGTAATGCTAAAGCTGGCCATACACTGCTCAAATTTTGGACGATTTCTGCTGAATCCGCTGAATTGGAGCTGTGGGTGGCCCTGTCAGCACCGTACCAACGCGCGCCCTCCTTTCCCCCCAACAAAAAACTATTGTTCAGTCGAATTTTGTCGAAGGAGCTGGTCCAAAAATTCTTGGCCTGCATTCAATCAGATGCAAGCGCTATTTGAATTTTCAGCAGCCGGCAGCAGGGATTCGTGCCTCTATGCTGTTTAGTGTGGATGGAGGAATGTATGGATTCTGTCGTTTAGCCCCATGGTAGCGTGTATGGCCAGTTTAAGCCTTCCCCAAAACTGAAAAAGATAACTTGTGGCTGGACATACACTTTACTTGTCTTACTTTTTATGTGATGTTCACATTCATTATTTATGTGTTAGGGGTTTGATATATGCAGCAATCAATTTTATATAACAAATGTGAAGGTTCTCTGTCTCTGGTGGCTGTCTGTGAATGTTAAAAACAAAAAACAGAAACCTTATGAAATGACTGGTGAGATCAATTCTGTAGCAGACTGACAGGTCTGCATTCAGAGAGTGTTGCATTACTAAGTATGAGGCACAGCCTGCATATGGCCGTCACCATGCACATTTATAATTACTCACTGTAAATAGAAACATGTTTGTAAAACAATAACTGGCAGTAAAGAGTAAGCTGCATTAAAGCTGAACTGTGGTTACCAAGAAAAAGCTATATAATGCATCTAACCTAGCTTTTTATCCGAAAATGTTATCCCTATGTTAATTCTTTACCTTTAACTGTCTTTTTGGCAGGTACATTGTCTCTGGCCAAGCTGTCTGGCTGCCGAATGGTAATACAGTCACTATACTGGGGAGGGTTTGCAGGAGTTCCGCCAATTTAGTACCGCCTACTACAGTCTATACATTTTCTGAATGAGAACATTTATAGACTTTCTAAATTAAAGGGATACAGTGCAGTTACAATACAGTGCAAGACAAGGGGGTTATGAGGGCCCTGCTCATGGGAGCTTATGTTAACATGGTTTGGATTGCAGACTTGCAGGCAGCCTAATGAATGCGTCAATAGTCGGTTGCTGCTTCTTTATTGTGGTCTGTGTTCCTGGGGACACAGAGAGCAATAAAAACTTGATGGAGGGTCTAGCCCTTCCCTACTCTATCCAAAACTAAAAAAGAGGTTCTGCCTAGAAAAACACTTTAATACCTGCAAAGTGAAGCGGGCTCAGGTACACACAGCACCAAGACTTAACCTGTTTTACATATCACTGGTAAAACTTAAAAGTTGGCTGTTACATGCATTATATAAGTGAACTTCTCTGTAATCTTGGTGCTATATATATA